AGTCAAATGTAGATACAGCACATCCATTTAGCATGCCCATTTTTGCCCACATCGTGGAAATGTGGCAATTTCCCTTGTCATCTTCAGTTCACTCAGAGAGTTCACCATGGGAGTCACCAAATCATGAAGGCTGGCAGGTAGCATTGACTCAAAGCTAGAAGCTCTTGCTCTCCAAGAGGACTCTCCTTAGCTTAGCTTCAGCTACTTTCAAATGAGAATTTTTTGTTCATGGAAAGTGAACTTGTCCTCAACTAGCTGCTAGTTAGTAAAGTTTCATTTTGACCAGATCCATTCCCAATAGTTAGTAGTCAAAGTCCAATTCACTAGTTTCACTTATTTCAGCAATCAAGTTTCCGTCCCATGATTTGCCATTTTAACTGGAGGAGAAAAGAAGAAAAATATAAAACAAAAACAAGAGGAAGAAAAAGGAGCAGGATGGGAAGAAGGGGGGCAGATGTGATATGTGTTAAAAGCACTTTTAAAGCTATCACTGACTAAAAAGGGACCTCAGATACAGAAAATCTGTTACATCTTCAATGTACCTATTTTTTGTCATAAGCCCAATAGGCAAAGAGCAAGTCAGCTTCAGTATTTGGCATGAGGCCTGCTGCAATATTGATTATATTGCAATATAATAGCAATCATGATATAAGTTACCCGGTTATTATTATGTGACTATTATTTTATAAGCTTTAATAAGTTGCTCGAGCATTTGAGATGAACAGTTTAAAAGTCTAAATTCATATTCATACCAAATATGTAGGACATATTTTTCATAATTGTTCTTGTCCCCTGGGTCAGTAATAGAGTTTATAATCATCATAAAATTTCATTCATTCTTAATTCCTTTTAATTTATCAGAAGGAAAATATGGATGGTTATTACCCAATTAAAATACTCCTGATGCTTTTAAGGTAGAGATTGTGGGGGGTTTTGGAGTTTCAGTGAAGACAATTAAAAAAAGAAAGAGCAGCTGTGTGACTTCAAAGTGTTTTTAAGTGCTCTGAGTTTGCAGAGATATTCAGCTGTTCAGTACCCTATTTCCACCTGTCTTGTTCTCCTATCATCTATGATGCAATCAAGGAATAATTGGAACATTTTACCCATGTGAAAGGTGCAGAAGTGTGTAACCTAAGATAGAATTTTCATTTGGTAGATATAGAATCCATGCTGAAACTCGTACCCCCTTGGCTTATAGTTGAGCAGGGACCAGGAAACCCATCACTGAAAACCTTAGACAAATGCATGAATCTGATCTGCCCCCTTGGCTGGATTGGGCACCACTTGCTTAGTGACAGATATGAGAAGTGTGCCCTTTGGATGGATGTTTTGCAAAGGTGACTTTTTTTCTAGATTATTCCCATGCTACTGGTTATAAAGCAACCTAACCTAGTAGGGAAGACTCAGTTACAGTGGCTACAATTTTTTCCAGAGAAATTAAATGGATCAAAGTGATTAATATCTACCAAAAGAAAATGCCTAATCATCAAAATTGCTTTCCAAATTGCTATGTAAGAATCACATACAGATTTAGCCTTACATTCCTTGCTCAATTTCTCTCTTCTTTCTTCTCTATTTGATCATGATCTTGAACCAGAACTGTATTGAAATCTTTTATTTTCACTCTCAATCAGAATATCTTAATTTCATGTACATATGAGTCCAGTTCTCTGAAAAGCCGCCCAAATTCATGAACTTTTAAATGTTTACTTAATATTAAGATGAAAGCACTTGGCCAGGGGTACTGTGAAGATGCCTTATTCATGCCCAGGTTTTCAAGCAACTAGTGAACCTCTTCAAAAGAGAGGAAATTGAGTGTTTGTGGTGACTAGCTGGTGGATGTGCCTAACTAACAGATTAAGTGGTGGATGTGCTAAAGGCAAACAGAGTCACTTACGTATATGCAAACAGCTTTCATTTGTAGGATGTGCTATGGTTTACAAAGAGACACGTGTTGCATCATTTGGTAAAAAGAAGCATACCTACAGTCCCAGAAATGATTGGCAGCTGTCTTCCATCATAGCGTTCATTTGTAAATGGAGTTTTTTTTATTAAATAGGCAAATTTTCACTAGAAATATTTAACTGTATGACCTATGCCATAAAGGTGATGAAATAGTATTCATTCTTAAGTAAAAATAATTCATTTTTTTAAAAGCACGTTTAAATGCAGGTCATAGCAGGCATACCTCAGTCATAGTTTGGGTTCCAATCCAGAACACTGCAATAAAGTGAGTATCATGATAAAATGAGTCAAATGAATTTGTTAGTTTCCCTGTACATATAAAAGTTCTGTTTAGACTATACTGCAATCTATTAAGCGTGTAATACCATTAGGTCTAAAATGCAAAGCACATACATTAATTTAAAAAAAACTTCATTGCTAAAAAATGTTAACCATCATCTAAGCTTTCAGTGAATCGTAATCCCTGATCACAAATCTGCATAACAAATATAATAATAATAGAAAAGTGTGAAATATGGGAATAATTACCAAAATGTGGCACAGAGACACAAAGTGAGCAAATGCTATTGGGAAACTGGTGCCAAGAGACTTGCTTGATGCAGCGTTGCCACAAACCTTCAATTTGTAAAAAAACCAATATCCGTGAAACACCGTAAAGTGAGGGATGCTTGTACTTAATGGGTCTCACCCACTATGGCACATTTGGCCCCAACTGCTCTGTTTTGCTCTAGCATGAGACTCTGATGCCTGAGCACCAGTTATTCCGGTTCTCAAAAGCTATGAATTTTGATATATGGCCCCTCATTATGAAAGCTTACCTCTTTATGGCTTCACCCAGGTGAGCTCATGGCTCCGGGGTTTTCTTGTAGGCTCTCACCTAGAGGAATGAAGCTCGGGTGATACGGAATCTGCAGGCACCAGCTTGTGAAAGAGAGCCCCACACCTGCGGGCATCACTGCTCTCAGTGAGCTGGAAAACTCTAGCCGGGGAACATGGAGTCATGAGTCTTTCAAAGTAGGAACAGAGCCCCAGCTTTTAAGGAGGCTATCCAAACAGGTGACAAACTGCTGTACTTCAAAGACAGGAAATCCCTTCAAACGTTAAATTGTAAGGACCCAAAATGACCTACATTCAGGAAAACGGGAAGTCAGTAATTCAGCGTCATGTTTGTTCCAGCTTAATGAAGCGTGTTCGGTGGGTATTAACTGGTCCTGCGGATCCGTCTCTAAGTGGACGACAGCCTTTGCCACCGGAAACTCACCTTTTCAAGATCTTATTAAAAAGTCTCTTGAGTTCCCATCAGATTGAAGTTACTGCGTAAAGACTCTCTCTGGGCCAGTTTTCACCCTTAAAATTAGCCCGGTTTAAAATTACAATTACGCAGAATGCTTAAGGAACTCCATGAAAGTGTTTTAATGTGTTCCTGGACATTAAAACTAAGGGAAGGAGGCATCAGGCTACAATGCAGCCTTGGAAAACAAGCAGATATGGGTTGCTTCAGGTTTGAAAGACAGCCTGGAAGCTCCCAATATATCAAGGCACAGGGCTCCCTAAATTTTTCCCAGCTCAATGCAAATTCTAGATGGATTTCTTGCCAATCTCAAAAAACTCGTAGGGCTGTAGATACAGCAGTTTGAACCATGTAAGTGTGAGGACTAAATTCTTGCCCAGTTTGCTAAGAATAAGAGGAGGGCTGGGGATAGGGATGGCTGAGAAGCACAGAGATGTGGTGGGTGCTATTTTTTCACTGCAGGGTCTCTGTTGTTACCCTAGTGCTCAGAAAAATTACTGAACAAATGTGTAAGTGGGAGGGAAATGGGTGGGTGAAAGTCAACCCCATCTCAGAACACAAGTTGTCCTTCCGTGTTTATGGTTTCAAAGAATGAAAACCCAAAAAAGGATTGAGATTAGAAAATTCTTGGGGAACCAAAGAGCTTACTCTACATTCCATAGTTTTATCAACTTAAGCCTCTCTGAGCAAAGAGGTCAAAGTTAACTCTGCTTCCCTGCTTACAAAGCAAGTCAACTTATTTTGTATGTATAGCTGTAAACCGTTTGCAACTCCTAAATCAGACAGACACTCGGGATGAATTATGAATGAAATTAACCACCTTGACTTGGAATTTCCTCACTTTTACTGGTCTTTAAACAAGATTTTTATATATTCATATGTAATCGATGGGACCAACGCACGAAACAGTCCTTAACATAAAACACTCAGTTTTAGAGTGATTTTGCAGTTAAGGAAACTTAAATATAAACTTCTAATGTGGAAAAGGTAGTTTTTACATGCTGCTTTAAAACTGATCTGGAAAATTGATGAGCTGGCCACAAGATTTCTGTCAGAAACAGAAATTACGTTTGTATTTTAAAATACAATTTTAAATGCCTGCTTTTTTTCATGAAGCCAATCTGCTTCTCATATCTTTAGCCTCAGTCACCTTAAAAATACATAAATCATAAATTTGGTATCTGGTTATTGAGTTGCTAAGTTGCAGGGTGGAATAATTTCGATATTCATAAATTCATAAGAGCACAAGAAAATCCTTCCTGAATACAAAACTACCTTTAAAATTATCATCCAGACGAGTGAATGTTACAAGTATACCCCTCTTTTAATTTTGACTATTAGCTATTTTATAACTTTATATATATTCTTCCATAAAAAAACTTCAACTGTCTAAAATTTCCCTACAAACTGGCATGTCCAAATTAATTTCAGTAGGGGTTTCTGTGCATAAAAACTATGAAATGAGGATTGATGTCAGGTTTTGAAGAGAAAAATGAACTTGAATTGTTTTTTACTCCAACAAAGCATATGTTCAATTTTACCCTGTGTATATATGAAAGAAGATCAAACTAAAATATTTCTCTGCTGCTCATGCAGAAAGTAAAATGCAACAAGTTTGCGTCTTTTTGTCATATAGCTAATATAACAAAATAATTGGAACATTTAAAAGAAAGATACTAATTAAAGAACACATGAAATTTTCAAAGTTTAATAAGCAGTTGGAAAAAATACTTCTCAGTCAAAACATAACTAAGTGACTCTAACTATAATTGTACATTTTAATGGTCCTACAGATTTCAGTAGTAAAGTTTTTACAAACTTCTTGCCACTTCAAGTACCTCAAACACATAAAGGGCGGAGAATATTCTTTTCTCTTCATAATACATTCAAAAGAATCCATCATATGACAGAACTGTTATTATACTAATAATTTTCTTATATCTGATTATAGTATTTCTATAAAATGGAAAACAGTCTCTGATTTTTTTCATTTGGAAGTGGGTATTGACAGAACCCCTTTAAGACATGTTTTCATATTCATTTAAAATGTACTAATTCCCAAGTTTCTTTACAAAAACATTAGATATTACAATTTCATATAGACTGCATTTTATAGATTTGGAAATTCTCTTCCCTCCACTATACTCCTTGAGTAGGGTTGTACTAATCTAGTTTAAATTTTTTAAAAATTACAGCAATCATATATCTACCTGAAGAGAGTTAAAAATACTAGTCATGGTTTTGTTTTCATAATTATGAAAATATTTTTCTGAAGGACAGATGAAATCTTGAAATGTGAACATAGAAGAAAATACTACAGGTTGGAACTTCATAAACCTTCGGAACTTCATAAACCTATGGAGAAATGTTTATCATAAGAGTTTAAATACAAAACTTTTAGTCTGAACTATTAAGAAAATCCTATGTAGTAAAATATTTGTTTCTGTACTTTCATAAACATACTTTCCCTTCATTTTCAAAGGGAACACCGATCCTGTTGCTGTCTGCAGGGAATGGCTCAGAGAAGGGTCGCCCACTTGTCATCTGTCCCTTCCCCCCAGGCAGGCACGCGGAATCAAAAAGGAATTTTATTATTTATATCCATTCCTTTTAATACTGTTTTTATTAGCTCTCAAAGCCTTTGACAGCAAATGTCAAACCACATTCAAACAGACCGATTTGCTGTTTGAACTGTTGCTCCAGGCCAGGTTATTTCAAATTCAAAAATTTGAAAATGACAATAAACAAGGGTTTTTAAAAAAGAAATAGTCAAACCAAACTTTTTCATACGACTTATAACAAAGTAAATCTAAAACATGGGGCTATAATTCCTGCTATACATGACATTTACTTTTTAGGCTAGAAGTACCAAGTGCACATTGCTTATCAAAAAGATCCTTGGGTGCTCCAATTGCCTTGAACATACACTGGCACATAAAAATCAAATGCTCTTGCCATGTGGAAAATTTAAAAAATAAGGCCTCCTCATCCTAGTAACCTGTGCATGATTCGGAAGAAAACTGGAGGATCTTTGGTAACTTTAACTTACCTCTTCTGAGCTTTAGCAACGGGTTTACTTAAAAATATTTACTTTCTGGCAAAATGTAGCCAATTCTTAAATGCAGCTTAAAACCTTGGACATCCCTGAGCAACCATGATGCCACGAAATGTGTCACTGCCCATTTATTTCCTATTTTATTAACTTCTAGTTAAAACGCTCCCAACACTGACTCCTCGGTGGGCAGCGTCTGCATCATTTTGGAACTGCGAAACAAGACGCGGCCCATTGATGATCTCTAACTAAAAAGCACCTAGCTTTCACTGGGCACCGTCGCCGACGTCTTTCTCCTAGACCACAGACACTTTTCGGACCTCGCACCCCTCTTTACAAACCTGCGCGGGGCTTTCGGGGGGAGGGGGAGGCAAGACTTTGGTGGGAGCTGATTCTCTTCAGCAAAGCGAGGGCTGACTGCGAGAGCGCAGGCTGAGCGATCGAGCGATTTCCTGCCGATGCCGGGTTCCACTCGGCGCGGCGCGGAGAGGAAGTCGGACTTCTTCCCAGGCGGAGCCTCCACGCTGGGCCCAAGGGAGCCCCGCGGCCGTGGGCCCGGGGCGGGCCGGGGGAGCGCAGGCCGTTGTCCGCCCAGGCGGCGCGCGCCGTGCCGCTGGGAGAGGGGTCCCGGCCGCAGCCGAGCGCACTGAACTTCGGAGGGGGCCGCGCAGGGGAGAGCTCGCTCGCGCAGCCGCGGGCTCAGCCTCGGGGATGCACTTGAACCCGCGGCGAGGCCGGCGACCCGCGGCGTTCGGAGCGCCACCCGCGACCCGGGCGGAGCCCGGCGTGGGCCTCGCGCGCTCTCCGGCATCCCCGGGCCCGCGGCGCTGGGCACGGGCCCCACCCGGTCTCCCGGGGTGAGCACCGCCGGGGGCTGCGCATCCCATTCCCGGACCCGGAGTCGGAAAGCGAAGACCGAGGGCCGTCCGCGGCAGGGCTCGACTTATACTTCATTTTCCTATTTGGAGAAAATGTCACAGGAGAGGGGGGAAAAGAAAAGAAGAATAATTGTAAATACGATTTGGAGCGGGCGCGGGCCGGTGCGCGCGCGGTGCGGGCGGGCGGGGATTCCCGGTCTCGCAGCGCGCCCTAGTGGACGCCCGCCCGGCCCGCCGCCCGGAGCTCCGTGCGAGCTGAAGTCCATTATTTCTTTCTAAGTATTGACAATGCGTGCGACTCCAGTAACCCCAGAGCTCTTCTCTGTAATCAGCACATTCATTCACTTTTAGGGAGAAGAATCCGAATTAAATCCCCGTGACCCAGCTTGGGTTACAGTGTCATTTTCCCTGGATCCTCTTTTAAATCCACACCACACTGCGTCTCTGTCTATTACATGCTAATTTAATTTTACTGTGGACGATATTTTCAGCATTTGCTGAGGACAGTAAATTTTGTAGTTTATGTTATTTCACTTTTTATGACTTTTTAACACTTAATAAAATTTTATTAGAGCACTTTTGTGTTTACAAGGCCACAAAACTCTTGGCAGGTTGTCAGAAGTCCTTTTTATTATGATCCAACTGATATACTGCGAGTAATGAAATAATCATGTCCAGAAATGTATCAAAGGCCAGAGGGATTATCCCACTTAATAGCTCCACAGATGCGCCCAGAAGAATGTGGACACGCGGCAAGACGCGCTGAGAGGCGGCGTGGGGAAGGAGGCAGCCCCCGCGCCTTTCTTCAACATTTCGGTTGCTTTCCTAAAAGGCTACATGCCAGGTCATGTGACTTTCCGCGGTCTCAATAAAAAAAAGGGGGGGGAGGGAGAGAAAGAATTTATTCTATTGCAAAATGTGCTTTTCTTTTTATTCTCCTTGTGTGGGCATTTAAGGCTGTGCTAGTGGCAGCGGAGCTGGCTCAGCATATCCGTGTCAGTCACTTTCCTCTCGTTTCTAAGTGTACTTTTGTGGCATTTAGGCGGCCGGTGGTGACATGGGTGTCGATCCATGCGGCTTCGACAGCCCACCCCGAGAGAAGGCACTGGGAGGGACCCAGGAGGGCCGGAGGTATTTTAAGGTCCTTCCCCTCCCGCCAAACATCATCTTTCGCTGTTGCTTTTCGTTTTGTTTCGCAAAACAGGGGAATAGTGCCTTGAAGATACTACTGTCTGCCTTGTGCCAAAGAACTACGGCAGGCTGCTTTTATTTTGTTTTTATGCTTTTGTAAGACTTGCCTTGAGGACTGAAATATTGCAGCTGTCTTTTAAAGAACCATTTTTCCTTTTCTTTTAAATAGATATGTGATCATTTAACACACTTGTGTTAAGTTCATTTTTGCTGCAAAAGAAGCCATTGTACTTCCTGACCCGAAACAAGGTGGGTGGCTTTCATAATTAAATTTTCTGTGTCCGGCTTCATACTTCTCTTTCTCTGTTATTTCCTGAATAGTGTGCCAAAGTGATCAAACAGATGAGGAATGGAATCATAAATGGAGCGGTTTTGAAATGACTGTTGCTATGTCCAGAGCACGTGTTCTTCTAAACTTTGGCTCCGAGGGACTTCGGCAATGTTCTCACAAGCGTGTGTGTGTGTGTGTGTGTGTGTGTGTGTGTGTGTGTGTGTGTTTTCATGTTCCACACATCACATTTGGATTTTGCAATCTGTCATTGTTTAAAACAACCCCTGGGAATCGTGCTCCTCTCTCTGGATTGCCTCCATCACACACATGTGCACACTCTCCCGTTCGGATGTACTTAACGCTGCTCACGAGGGCTCTTTGATTTCAACTTCAAGGGAGCAGTTTTGTTCTTTGTATGTCATTTGCCAACCACGGACAAAACTTAGTGCCTGGTCTAATAGTCTTGTGTACAGGATGGTCTAGGTTCTGAAAGAGCATATGAAGGAGAGTATCTATCCCTTAAGAAAAATTTATGTCCTGAGACTATTTGGGTAGCCATTTTTTCTCGTTTTACAGCATTTTCCATTTGCAAATATGAGGCAGTTTTCCTTTTTCTCTCTTTTTCAAGTGATGTCTCTAACATAGCTGAAGAACGCAGGAAGAAAGTGACATTAGGCTCTGAGTAAAAATGCTTCCTCCATTCTGCGGTTATTGGTGGCTCATGTTCTTTGCTATTTACCACAGGAGACACAAGACTGGACAGAGAAGAGGGTTCAGTTTTTTGCTATCCAAATTTCAGAGCATTTTACATAAGGGAATTTATGCCCAAGGGCAAGAATCAAGAGGAACACATTAATTTTAATTGTTATGAAGTGACAGTTCGATTTTATAAGTAATTTGTATCTGGGACAATTTTAATAATACTTCAAAGGCTGTAATAGCCTTCAGGTTCGAACCTGTTTTACTAAGATAAAGTAAACCTCCCCTAAGGTAGATATTTTCAAGGCATCAAACTATGCTTGCAATTCTTATTCAAGAGAGTGAGAGATTGACTTAAATATGATAACTGATGACACGCAGCTTGGTCAATGGAGGGCCTAACTGGTGTCCCCAGGGATTTTACAGTCCCTTCTGAAGGATTCAGTGCTGAAAGGAAAGGAAAGCGTGAAGCCCCAGATGAGGACTCTGTTTTTGAAGAGGAGTAAACAAACCAAGCCAAAGGAATGAAATGGTCCCCTAGTATGACCAGAAGCAGTAAGGCATGGGGGTTGTTAGGACAGAGCCTAGAACCACTTTGCTTGGTTCTGATCCACTTCTACTGGTGTCCCCAGGGATTTTACAGTCCCTTCTGAAGGATTCAGTGCTGAAAGGAAAGGAAAGCGTGAAGCCCCAGATGAGGACTCTGTTTTTGAAGAGGAGTAAACAAACCAAGCCAAAGGAATGAAATGGTCCCCTAGTATGACCAGAAGCGGTAAGGCATGGGGGTTGTTAGGACAGAGCCTAGAACCACTTTGCTTGGTTCTGATCCACTTCTACTGCACATTACTTGTGTGGCCTTGGACAAGTTACCTCATCTCTTAGTGCTTAGTTTTTTTCATCTGTAAAATGGGATTAATGCCAGTACCTCTTTCCTACTTTTGTTGAAGGGTAAAAAGAGTTAATTTATATGAAATGCTTAAAACAGACCCTGAATGCTACTTCAAGCAAACCCAGGGAGACCAGTGTATCCACCGCCTAGCACATGCCTGGCATACAGTAAATGTCAGTAAATACCTGTTGGGTGAGTGTTGCATGTTATTTCGTTGACTGCCCTGTTTGTTCAGGTGTGGCCCATGGGGCAGTAACTAGGGTAGTATCAGCCTCAGGTCTGGACTTGACTCTACGGAGAATGGACAGCACTCCAGGAGAGGCTTTGTCCACTGCTGTTTTACATTTCTATGGGTTTCTATGTTGTTCCTAAATTAGCAGTTGGGTTATAAAACTTTGGTGAGAAGAGAGTTCAAATTTCTGGAGGGGCTCCCTATACTTAGCACAGTGGCTTGTACCGAAGTAACAGGTAACTGATATAGTCTAATACACCAACACATATCAAACACTGTGTTGTACTGTTATTCTGTAAACAGTAGATGCAGGCACTATGCTAAATTCTTTGCTACACTGTTGCACATCATCCTCACACTGATTACATATAGGTAGTTATCACAATCCCCATTTTACAGGTAAGGCATATTAGGCTCAGAGAAGTCAAGCAATTTTCCCAAGGTCACGCAGCTGGTAAATGACAGATCTGGAGGTTCAACCCAGGTCTATGGGGATGTATTCTACTAATCTACACTGCCGCCCTATCTGTTTGGCTTTTTTAGAGCCCCTAAACAATTTGGTCAATTATAATTATCGTATAAACCATGATGACAATGGAAATGATGAAGGGTGGGGCCCAGGTCTGTTATTCTTGAATCATCTGTGTTCTCGTGCAGTAATCTGAATGCTGGGCTTGGGGGAGTGAGGTGCAGGCACACCCCCTGTGCCTTGCCTAGCCTCAGCTCCTTCCACAGCTACAAGGGTGTGTTTGAAAAGGGCCAGAGAAGTCAGGGTTACTTTTTTCCCCTTTGGAAAAATATGATTATGCTAAACTTACCTGAACTAGTATTCAAACAAGTTGCATGGTGACAGACTTGCTCCATGCATGAATGGAGCTGCATTGGTGATACCAGACTCAGAAAGCAGAACTCAGACAAGTGGACAGAGCTTCCTTCTCACCAGAAGTTCTTCATAGACTTGACAGATATTCAGTCTCCTAAGATAGCTGATGGGTGTCCCAACCATTTCAGGAAGCACAGAACAACCTGAAGCAATAAGAAAAGCCTTGCTCCATGTACAAGTCCACCTAATGAGCATACAAAGGGCAGTAATGCAGGAGTGTTCGGCTTTAACCACATGCTGAATTCTGCACCCTTGAAACAAAGTATGCAGGGCCCCAAAAGAGGACAGCAAAGAGCACATTGGTTGTTCTAGGGACTATTCAACACCCCCCTTAGTAAAAATTCATCCAGAGATAGATCTCGCAAGTGGATGATGAAAACATGAAAGCCAGTGGCAGCTGGCTGCTAAACCCTGTACTTTTCTCAAGAAGAAAAGTCTCAGGCTTAGGCTTAGTGAGATTCTACCACTACCACCACCAAAATAATTAGAATTCATCTTTGGCTGGTGGCTTTGTCACTGTTATTGCTGGGAGAAGTGGGGGAAAGGGGGAGGAAAAGAGGGATGCCTCCAAAAGCCTTGAGATTCCACAGAGACCAGGCTCACTGCATGAGTGGAGAAGCCCCGGACTCCCCAGGCCTGAGTCTGCTGCTCGGGAACCAAGGGCAGTTTTCCTGGGTGTGCCCTTTCTTTACTGGGTGTTTACCAGCCTCTGAGCATCTGCCCAGGCACCTAATTCATCTTTATGTCTCTGAGTTATCCTTTTTGGAAAAGAAAAATAGTCAGGATTTTAACTCATGTTTATGGGGTTTGGAGAATTAAGACTATATTTAGAGTTGGTTTTGAGCTCTTCACATGAAGCCTAAATAAATTTTTCTAAAACATATGAGTAACTTATTGTGTCTTAATAAATATTTGATAAAAACAAGAAAACACTAAAAAAGCAATATTGGCTACTAAATTTAATTCCACTAATTAAAAATGTAACATTATATACAACAGAACTTAGACTGGAAATGTCTAAAAATGACATGGAAAGAATTGATGCTCAAGCCATATTGCAGCAGACATAATTTTAAGCCATCAAAACTTTTAAGGACCTTGAGCTGTTTTCTTCAAATTTGAAGTGCCTTTCTTTCTGCACCTGTGAATTTGCCAAGTTAAAGTTTATCACTATAAGAGGTTTTGAATGATAACACTTTTTAAAAATGCCTGAGTACTTTTTGATTTGATGGAAAGAATGTATGCTTTTTCCTTTTTACATATCTTTAAAACCAACTGTCCTGATATAAATTAAATCTTGAAAAAATGT